TAGATACATGGGAGAAGTCTCTCTGATTCAAGTTGTTGAAGGCAACTCTTAGCCTTCAGGGGTGAGAATCAGATCTAGCTTCACTTTGAAAATACTTATCAGAAAAATACTCATCAGACTTCTTATAATCTATCCTAAATCCTCTTCTGCTTAGGCTGCTAAGATTACACACCTGAATTTTTGTTAAATTACAGTAACTGTATTAGCTGAAGTATTTGGAATATTTATATCCCATTCACTCCATATAATATTTGAATTTAACACTTAAATTTACATGGTCTTATTTTAAATGTCCTTTATTGTAATCAAGCTCAAAACTTTAATGGGAAATATAAATTAAAACTTCAATAAACAAAATTTAAATGAATAAATGTCGCATTGGTGAGAGTTTGGGGATAGAGGATGGTTTTTATTGCAAACATGTATTAGGTAGAAAAAGTTCTCATTCAGCAAAATGCTCAAAGCATAGTTGAAGATGGCAGTGAAAGAAAGGAAGATTGAGGGAGGGAAGAAAAATAAAAATAGAAACCATTCTAAAATAAATGTATAGCCACCATACTTCTGAATCATTTAGAGAAGATATTTTAAGTGCCTCATATGTTTTGTTTGCATTTTCTTCTTACTAAAGATGGAGAAATTGAGAAGTAAAGCATCTCTTTCATGTCCATATATCCAGCGAGGGGCAGAATCAAAACCAACCACAGGGCTGTTTGATCACAAAGTGTTCTTTAGAAAAAAGATCATTTCAAAAAATGAAATAAAAATGATAATAGGGAAGAGCAATTAGAGATAGTTTCTTAGAGAAAATAAACCATATTATAATGGGAAGATCAAGAGAACAGCATGATTAATAGAGGCACAGCTGTGGCACTAGAGGGGAAGGACATGGGACAAGAGGAGTTAGAGTAACAAGCACATTGTTTCCCGCATAGCCTCAACTGCAAGTCATCCATCCACTCTCCTCTGAAGACTTTATATTCATACATAAACCAAAATATAATTGAATATTTATTTATATTGACTCACTTTTTATTTGAAATGCTTATTCATAGAGAAAACATAGCAAATTCTCAAATGAAAACATGCTTTAAGTGAACCATAAGGTAAATGAAAAATAAAGCATATTTTTGAACTCCAGCAATATGTTAATGCCTACTAGCTTAAGATTTTCAGTGTGGAGGGTTTTTCCTTCATTTTCTCAGGAAATATTAATGATATTAATAACAGCTAATGAAATTTAAACATTCATCATATGAGAGAGACTCTTTATATGGCTCCAATACCACAATTGTGCCTAATAAGAACTGTATAAAGTAAAAGCTTTCATTATCCCTTTTTAAGGATAAGGACACTCTGAAATAGAGATTTAGTAAGTGGCAGAGAGTTATTAAGGACATAGTTACTATGAAGTAAGTCTTTCTACTTCATGAAGCAAAAAGTCACGAGAAGAAGAGAAAAGAAGTGACTGTGCTCAGATGATTTCTAATGTGAAAAGTTTCAATACTTTATCTGATATTTCCTCAGAACAGTGGCACCCCCTGTACTCTTAAAAATGTGAACATTACTGAAGGCATTATAACAGTAATTTTATAGCATTACTATCTTCTTGTGAGCCAAGCAGTGACATCATATTTGTTGTTACAGACATGTTACTATGCATAATGGGCTGCAAGGACAGTGAGATACTCTACATTTCCATTGATCTAAGATTCACATGCATAGGATGTAGAAGAAAAATAAATCATAAAGGCCCCTTTACAGTGTTGTTGAAGAAAATCCTAAAACTGATTCTGTAGATTGTTTTTAAATAAAAAAAGACCAGAGGGGACATATTTGACAAACTGAACAGTTTAAATTTAAGCATTCAGTGAGACTTAATATGTAGTGTGTCCCTAACTTCACTTCATTTCTTTTGTTGAACTGAAAAAGTGGGTTTTATAAATGATTCTATTTCATATACTGATTTATCCAAAGTGTTTATATTTCTCCATGGGTATCACTAGAGCAGATTTGCATAATACTTATGAATCTCAAGGGTCTTTGTGAAGATGTGTGACGTAGATCAATATTACCATGCCTGTGCACCATGTAGCTGCATTTATGAGTGAGAAAAGGAAAGGCACTTAAAGACCTCACTGCTCCTTTGCCTTCTAATAAACTGAACCTGCAACACATCCCAAATCATGATCCCTTAACAGGCACAAAATCTCTGGGGAAGACCAGCATCTTACATGGTTCATGTGAGAGGAAAAAAAAACAAAAAACAGAAAATGCAAATGTCCATTTCGCTAGAAAAAGTTAGCCTTAAACTACTGATATTTCTTCATATTCATAAGGAGATTAACCATTAAAAAAAAGAACTTGAAATAGGAAAAGGTCCAAAGATGTAGGGGTGGTGGGAGGGGAAGGGGAAAGGAAAAATTATGAGAAAAGAAAAAAATGGAAATGAAATCTATGTAAATAGAGAAGGGTTGAGGGGTTGAAGGGCACACAGATAATGGGGAAAAAATAAGAACCAAGATACATCATGTACAGGTTCAAGCACCCAACGACAAATGTAAATGTATTGTATACCTAAAATATACCAATAAAAGAATTTAAAAAAAGAACTTGGTGATAAAGAAGTCTGATTTTCCTACATAATCTGGTGTACATGAAAATGTTTCTATTCACATATTATCTATAAAATCTGAGAGTTGTGCCAAAATACATTTATTCAATACAAAATTATAACATTTGAAATACAATGCACTGAGCTCTAGCAGCAAAGGACATACTCCTATGGTGAAAATTAACTGCTCTCTGAGGATAGCACTATGGTTGAGCAAGAATTGGGGGTGAGGGGCCTGGTTAGCATTAGGTGTTATTATGGAAAAATACATAGGAAATTATCATACTGAAAAATCCTAAGATCACTGCCGGAATTTTCTGGAAAGAAGTAATCACAAAAAGGGGACAAAGTTGTACAAAAAAAAAATCATCTATCTTTGTTAAGGGTAAATTCCATATAATGTATAAATGGACTATAAATTAGCTAGTTGTTTCATTCTGCATAGGTGGCAAGTATGGGTAAAGTCAGTTGCCATAATCCCTTTCTAGTAATAATTTAGATTCAAGTTGTTAGACTCAATTTCTATCAGCAAGGGAAATTATGCAAATGATCATCATTTACTTATACAAATGAGCAGTACTCTCATAAAGTAATATTTTTACCTGGGCTTTTTTTTCAGTCTTTAATGGACAGTGCAAATTTCAAATGTATAGAGTCAAATGTAACTCTGTGTTCTCATTGCATATTGTTTTTTATTTTTATCACAGCGCTGAGAATTCAGCACCATCACTCAAAAACCACAGGACAATGAGACTATGTAAATGATTCATATATGACTTGTTTTAAAAACTTTAGGACAGAAGAGGTTTGAATTAATATTATGTCAGGGAAACTTCACCAAGGAGTCAGTTGAATCAGTGAAGCAAAATTTTGATGAATGGTTAGGGGATGAAGCCAGGAGAAAGCTCCCAACTGAGTGAAGAGCATGATCAAATACATAATAGTTGGGAGAGGAAGTATCAAAAATGTCCCTTTCATAGAATCTTTTTGTAGATTAATGTCCCTAAAGCATTTTTTAAAGTCTCTTTTTTAAACTTTATATATAGGAGAGGAAATCAACACAGAAGAAACGACAAAACATTATGCAGGTGAGTCATTGGAGCACCTGTGCTGCTAAGGGAACTGCTTCACACACAGAGGGAGGGAAAGGAAAGTTACATACCAGTAAATGACTGAATCATATCTGCCTTTAATAAAATGTGTTATCTGGAGCTGTTGAAGCCAATAAGTTCCTACAGTACTGTGGATGTCTCCATGACTGTTTTGTGAATTTAACTTTCCCTAACAAAGCACAATTGATTTTATACTAGCAAGCAATAATTTGGTTTTCTTAATATATTCATACTAAAAATGAATTCTTATAACAGTGTCTTTCATTTTCTTCTCTACATAGATTCATGGACAGAAGACCATGAATATTCCAGGCAGATCTACTTATCCAACACCTGTTGAAGCTGAATGGAGTACACTTTCAAAAAACAGTTTTCCAGCCTGAACACTCACACATCTAACCATGACAATTAAACCCACATTCAGTACTTTCCCCAAAGGTCTGTAAATGTCGGTTTTACTTCCATAAACTGAAATACATTGCTGTAAGGTTAAGAGAATATCATTGTTAATGATGCCCCTTAGTGCACTTATAATTTCCTTTTAAGAGTTATTGGCTGAGGGGCATTCCCTAGCCATATGGGCATATATTCTCTAGTCATTACGGAAATTCCGATGTGAGCACTGATATTCTCAGATCTTACTGTGGGATGCACAGGGAGTATAGAATGTTCTCAGTTTGCCTTTTTGTTCTTTTTAAAATCATCTTCAGATAGGACCAATGTAGCATGCAAAATGAACTCCTTTTCTTGGGAATGATTCTGCACTCATTTTAGGTTTATTTTCCACTTAACTTAGTTCATTAAGTCTTCTAAGTTGTCATCATTCAAGACATTTTTACAACTTGGTGACAGGTGGCTGCTCCTGGAAAACTCTTGGTCCCACTTTACAACTTAACATGCAAATCCCAATCATTGGGATCTCTGAGTAGTAAGAATAATCAGTTCATGAATCTGGTGAAGGAAGAGAATCCATGGGGTTCCATTTCAGACCATGGCACTTACCCTGTAATAGGGCAGGTTGGCGTATTCCAAAAACTATTTTAGTATCTTTGTTAATGAATTTCATCAAACAAATCCTATACGTTCTTGCTCTTAATTGTTTATAGCCTCAGAGGTAGAACCCCTGTAGCTACATAATGAACTTTTAGAGAAACATTGTAAAACTTTACAAAAAATTGTGATGGTATTTTTTGACGTTTTACCATCTTCCATCTGTAATCAGTGGATAATTTCTGTTAATTTATCATACCATAGTCAATATTCACTAAAAGTCTAAGTGCTGAGCATTGTAATATGAACATTATGTCTGCTATCATACAGGATAATTTACAGTAGCTCTCTGATATAAGTAATACTGTGTTTATGTTGTACTTGAGAATTGGAAGACTGGGATGAATAAAACTTCTTTCCGAGGGCATACTGCTAGAAGGCTAGTGGACTTAAGACAAGAGAAATTAGTGAAGTCTGTTCTTATTGAAAACCTGAAATTGCCAGGCATGGTGGCACACACCTGTAATCCTAGCACTCAGGAAGCTGATGCAGGAGGATTGACATGAGTTTGAGGCCATCCTGGGCTATCTAATGAGAAATACACAGCAAGAACCTATCTTTAAAAATCAATCAATGAAAGAAAAATGAAGAAATAAACCCTTAGTTTATCTCATTTTCCCACATTGCCTTAAATTCTGATATTTTCTATGTCTCATTCTTTTCGTTCTCCTCTCATTCTCTAAAGCTCTGTCCCTTCTTGGTTCTGGGTAGTTATCTTCTTGCTTGATAGCGACTCCCTGATCATTGTCATCTGCAATTTCTCCAAAGCATAGCTCAGCTTTATTACCTAATTCTTTTATCAAAATCATTGTTGGTTCACTGATATTTAATGAATCAAATATAAAATCTTTATCTTGACCTCAGAAACCAATCTCAATATTAATTCAGAAGCTGTCTTCTACAGCTCTATTTTATCTTCAAATTCTATTCAAATGGAAGGACGTATCTGGAATATAGTGTGTCTACCCTGTGCATCCCCTGCATCTTCTGATAACTACCTTTCTGCTTTCTTTCCAGTCTGCCTAATAACAATCCAATCATGTTTAAAAATCTCAGTTTTAATGCAGTCTGGCTTATCTCCCTGCAATTGGTGATGCTCTGTCCTCTGCCTGTAACTGCTCTTTCTCAGGTATGGAAGCTATTATCATTCACTGTGTGCCAGCCTTCACAATATTATCTACTCTAATTGTCTAATGGTTTTGAATGATCAAGTCTTTCACCCCTCTTGGCTACACTTGCATCTCTGAATTTTGCCCATCTCACTTTCTCACTTGCCTGACTTCCATTCTAAATCTACAACACCCATCACTTAACTTTGCTTTCTTTATCCAGTTCAAGGATTCTGGGTATTTATTGCTAAGACTGGACCTCTACTTAACTCTGTAGTAACAAACATCCTGGATTTACTGGTACTGCTCCAATTTTGCTGAAATATCCCAGTTTTAGTCCCACATGACTTGGGAGAAACTTTCTAAGGTGCAGCGAAACCAAGATAGTTTGTTTATCCCTCATAATCACGGCTTTCTTCCCGTTTGGCTTTTAATCAACATAGTGTTTATCAAATTTATCTGATTCATAGCCTATATCTTACATTTCTAGAACAATCATAGTACTCTATATCCCAAAATCTGGCAATATGGGCTGCTGAGATTTCCCCAGGGTCTGACCACTTTTTTCCCTTCCACAATGATAAACCAATTTCATATATTTTTCTCTATTCCCAGGATTTAACATAATGATTTCTTTTATATGTATTGTTATTGCCTTATCTCCAGTGCTATGTGACTCCAATCAAGGTAGTGCTTCTACTATTATGCTGATTATAAATACTTCTCAACTATGGACATGGTACTTTCTAGTGTAATGCCAGTGTAATTCCAGAGCTCAAATCCCCAGTTCTAATTTGACATCATTTTCCTTTTCTTTTCTCTGAGGAAGACAACCACACTTAAAGCTTAGTTCAGGTAACAAATTTAAACAAGTTGGATGATCTTTATAAACTCTTCAGATTCCTCATGTGTAAAATATTGGTAATAAATTTCTCTTGGCTCCTTTAAATATGAAGGAAAAAAGTGGAGAAAAGACAAAACAAATATTCCAATGCCTACAGTGCTATCAGGGTTCAATGACTCATAGTTCATCATTAGAAAAACATAAAGCAGCATATGTGTTACTAACAAAAAGAAAAAAAGGCTAAATTCTAGTAGCACCAACTTCATGCTACACACATTGAAGCAGCCTTCAATCACTAGGGAACAGGCTGATGGTGACCCCATTTAAGACAATCACAGCAGAGGAAAAGCACTCAGGGGATCCCATTTGTTGGTTGGAGTACACTAACCCCAGTCCCCCTCTGTGGGCAATCCTTTTTACCAAATCCTTGTCTGTAGTTGGGTAGAATATACCATGATGATATTCACCCTGAAGTTTCTTACAAAGTGGCATAGAAACAAATTTCTGAATTTCATTCTAAAATCATCTCCCACAGAGACAGGACTAGAGTAAGGAGAGTGAAATATCTGCCTGAGTCACACAGTTTAAGGAGACACCAGAGAGTACATAATCAAAATAAATATTTTTCACAAATTAAAAAAAAATTATATCAAAATTATAATGAACAATGAATGAAATTTTAAAGTAGAGATACAATCTACATGATGGATTTTTCCTTCTTGCACAAGCCTCAATATGTCTTGCCACATCACTGATGTCCCAATACAAAGGTGGGAAATATAAAAGACTAGATTCATAAAATTACAAGTTGGTATTAAGGTAGAAGGATGGAGAGTATCTCTGGGTAAGTTCAGCTGAGAAATCAATAAAATATTTGGTTTCTAGGATCAAAAATAATAGGAATATTTTGGTAGAATTTGCAGTAATTATTGCCTCTGAATTAAATAATAACTCCTCTGCCTTAAGGGAAAGTGGGAAATATTCTAATATTTGCCTGGGATCTACTGTGGACATAGAGCTCAATATCTATTATTTTATTTAATCCTCTTAATGACATCCCTATTTTAGGCTTAGAGAAACTCAAGTTTATGGATGCTAAATAACTTTTTCCAATGTTCAATTGTATAGACATTGAGATTTGTCAAACTTCTATTCAAGTGACACTTTCTATACCACCTTTATTTATATTGCTCATGCTTTTCAGTGGGTGGAACTGAAAATGTCAAAGCAGACAAACAGTGATCTTTTCTCCTTCTCTCCCTCATTTTCTACCTGCTCTTACAGATTTGCAGGTCTTGACAAATGCTATTCCCTCGTCTAGTACATTTTCCTCACAATTTCTCATCTTTTAACTTCATTTTCCCAAATGTCCCTTTACAAATATTCAAAAATGTACAAATATATTCAAAATAAAATGTATTGTAAAATATATTGTAAAATATATTCAAAAATTCTTGGCTATGTATCCTTTCTGACCTATAACTAATTTCATAGAAATTATTTTATATTTTTTTCTAAATATCCCTTCAAATTTTTCAGTTCTTGACAGGCAAAAGTCTTAATGATTCATAAATTCCCCCTTTTGTATTGGATGCAATGGTTTAACATATTATAAGTTTGGTTTAAGGAACAAATGATTTAATGACTCATTCATTCAATATTATATCCAATGGTAGTTTATTTGAATATTGAAAGAATTAAATTGTGCTATTATGGAACTGTATATTGGAAATTTGACTGTTTTAATAAATCATAGCCAAGAGAAGTTGATTTCTTATTTTTCCACTTGAAGACTTAGTCACTGGGATGAGTCTCACTATGGCCAGCCTATGAGCTGGCTTGGCCAGTAGTCTCCACTGGCTAAAACCTCCTTAGTTGGCCCTTTGCCACAAGGCAATGATGACATAACCACTTTCAGAGAAATGAGTTCTCATATGAATCAAATTAAAGATTTCAGGGTCCTAGGATATAATTTTGCAAATTACATTCTTCAGTGCTACTACTATTCCCTGTAAAGGTCTGAGAGGGTTGAATTGTCTTTATTGAATGACAGATTACTGCCTTAGGACAATTTACTCAACAATAGTAACATTGACATGAAGAGGGTGAACAAGCTGGAACATAAATGATTGTTGAATTAATGGCAATATTGGGGACCTTGGCATGTCTTTTGGAGAGATTCAGTAAGTGTCATCCCAAAGAGCTTGGATATTGCAAAAAGAGAACAGCAAAAAATTCTCTGAAAACAAACTACAAGGATATGCTTCTTATTTTTATATAGCTCCCTCATTTCATGTTTGTTCTTTGACACTTAAAAAACTAATGCAATATTAAAAACAGTATATTTAAATCTCAATGTATCAGATTTCAGTATGTTTTTGTTCTATTTAATTTA